CGTACCTGGTGACGAGATTGCCCGAGATGACCAGAGATGACCCGAGATGACCCGAGATTGCCCGAGATCACCCGAGGTGACCCGAGGTGACCCGAGGTGACCCGAGGTGACCAGAGGTGACCAGAGATGACCCGAGATTGCCCGAGACGACTCGAGACGACCCGAGACGGCCCGAAATGACACGCGATTGTCCCGAGATTGTCGCGAGGTGAGGCGCGTCAGTCCCCTGAGAACCCCACTACATAGCGCCACCCTCGTGAGCTGTCCTGTGAGCTGTGTGCTGTGTGTCCAGCAGACCGGACCCGGTGCTACGGTGACAGCGTGCCTCGTGTCGGCTCCCCGAGCCAATCGTGTGCAGCGTGTGTGTGCGTGTGCGTGTGGGCCCGTCCTTGGTGCTGGGAGGCGTGTAGCACTGACTGGCTGGCTGAGGCGCGCCTCGAGTACTCGTGCTCGCCCGTAGTGCCGAGGACGCTGCTGCCGAGGACGCTGCTGCCGAGAGGACCCGAGATTGTCCCGAGATTGTCCCGAGGTGAGGCGCGCCTCGAGTACTCGTGCTCGCCCGTAGTAACGAGGACGCTGCTGCCGAGCAGCGCCTGACGCAAGCAGAAAGGATGAGCTGTGTCTACTCCGCTGCTGTTCGCTTACAGACTCGCCCATGAAGCGTGGACAGCGCCACGAGTTTGAGCAGCGTTCCTTGGAGCGATCTCGGTGTCGAAACACCGCTCTGGCAGCGCTCATCAGTCTGAGCTCGGTGGTGGGGGGTTCTCTCGTGCATTTAGCTACTGAGTCCTCTCGCCATCCACTAGCGCCTGCCGCAGCTCCTTGTACCCGTCGTAGTCGTCCGGAGGGAGGCACTCCTATCGGGAGGGTGGGTTCGGGTACCGTGGGGGTAGGGGAGGGTGGGTTCGGGTACCGTGGGGGTAGGGGAGGGTACGCAGCGCTACCGGGATGAGCGTGTAGGCCAGCTGCACCACGAGCAGCCGCCGCCTCATCTTGATGTTCAGCACGAGCTTGGCCAGGCGGAGGCACCTATGTATGTATGTAGTAAGATGAAGAACACCTATGATCGTCATTGCTCAACGCTCGAGAGAGACAGATCACGATATGACGACGTATGCTAACACTACTTCTGCTAGCAATGGCAGTAGTAGCAGGCGGAGGCACCACAGACTTAGTTGTGCGTGAGTAATTAAGAGGCGGAGGTACCACAGCGTCCAGAAGAATCATGAACGAAGCAATGAGTAACGAGGAGTGAAGAGGCGGAAGGCACCACAGCGTCCAGAAGAACTCGAAGAGCAGCACAAACACCGCGTTGAGCGAGAGGGAGGCGATGGAGACGGCGCACCCTTCCTCGTGCCACCACGGGTAGATGAAGGCGATCTCCTCGCCGCCGCTGCCCGCCTCGTACTCCTCCGACACCCACGAAGCGTTGCAGCGCTGGTCCAGCGCGGCGTCGTCACACTCGAGCGGGATGGGCGGCAGCGGCAGGAAGAGCTTCGCCGCCGAGACCCCCTTCGCCTCCTCCGGCGACTCCTGGATGTAGCGGAGGTGCGGGTCGAGGGCGGTCGTGATCATCAGCGCGGACTGCAGCAGCGCGAACGGCAGCGCGACCACACACGCGCGCCGAAAGGGAGAGAGCCGGCGCAGCGCGCGGCAGTAGCGCGCGCCCTCGCCCGCCGTCTTGAGGCGGATCACCTGCGGGTGAGGGTTGGGGTGAGGGTTGGGGCGAGGGTTGGGGTGAGGGTTGGGGCGAGGGTTGGGGCGAGGGTTGGGGCGAGGTTGGGGTGAGGGTTGGGGTTGGGGTCAGGGGTGGGGTCAGGCTTGGGGTCACGGGTAGTCTTCCGGCGGATCTTTCGGCGGGCCACCTCTCCGACGAGGGCGAGGAAGGCGGGCTCAGCGAGGCCGAGCGAGACGGAGAGGGTCACCTGGCAGACCAGCTCCTTGTCCCGCGTCAGCTCCACGCCCACCACGTCCGCTGCGCCGAGAACGTCCCAAAGCGCGACGTGCGAAAAGAAGACGGCGAGCATCCAGAGGATGCCGAGCATGCCGAGCGATGCGCGCGGTAGGTAGAGCTTGCCGCCGCCGCGCCGTCGCGCGCGCACCAGCACGTACACCCACACCGACAGCATCAGCAGCAGCATCAGGCCCGCGATGGCCACCTCCGAGACCGAGATGATGAACTGCAGCGGCTGGCGGTCGTCATCGAGCCAGTCGAAGGCCATCCAGCGGCCCCGCGAGGGCAGAGGGCCGCCGGCGCGCACTCGCCGCCCTCGCGCCCGGCGCGCCCGGCGAGCTCAGCGGCAGGCGAGCGCGCAGCTGCAGCGTTGGAAAAGAGAGCGCGTTCGGGACCTCCCTTCCCGAGAAAAGAATTCTTAAGATACAAGCCTCTCTCACAGCACACTGGCACGACAAGGGCGCAGACTGGCGCGGACTGGCACACACACAGGCTCACCACCGGAGCCGCCTAAGCGACCAAGAAAAAGAAGAAATCCCCCGAAGTGCGACCGCGCACCCCGGGGCACAGGCGTATTCTAGAGGGGGAAAAGAAACGGGGAATGAGGGGCCCCGCCACGAGAAGTGCGTTCTGGGGATGCAGAGCGTGCAAGGCGGCTAGGGATGAGGCCACAAAAGAGGCGCGCGAGGCAAGGAGGAGACGCGGGGAACTGGGAGACTGGGACGACTGGAAACAAGAAGACAGTGAGCCACCACAGGCGTCGTTGGCACACATACTGAGCGGCAGCTGCGCTGGAAATAAGGAAGAGGCGCGTCACTTCATGCGGAAGCTCGACAAGCACACAGCGAGGGCGACAGCAAGAGTTGAACGGGAGGCGCCGGACTCAAAAGACACCGCCACATTCCTGAGACCAGGGAGGGGAGCCCCCTTTCAAGGCAAAAGGGTCTAAAATTTGGACCCCTTCGCCGAAACGGAATACCACAACATAACGCCCCGTGATTTGCC